CCTGGCCCCAGTTGACATATGAAGGGCCTCCAAACCCAGCTTCACCACTGCATATCCTCCAGAGAATGTACTGTATATACTGAATGGCTAGTCCCCCCCTGCCCCTCCAGTCTACCCTGGTGCTGGATGGCATAACCGGGAGGACAGGCAAGGGTCAGGGGTGCACCCCCTTCCCCGCCCATCCAAGTTTCGGTTATGCATGCCAGGTCTGCATCCTCCTCCAGAATAAGATCTTGAATAATCTGGAATTTATTAGATACAGACCTGGCATTCAACAGCACCAGTTTTAGAGTGGAGGGTCAACTGATCTGACTACCTCGATACTGACTGTTGATCACAGTCCCAGAACAGTGAACAGCCTTCAAACATCTTTTCGCCGTTCTTCTAAAAACGAGTAGGGGCTGTGCCATCAATTAGTTTATGATTAGTTTATGATTCAACATGTTAAGGGAAAAATATTGTTTGCGTACAAAGGAATACTGAAGAAAAGCAGCTTAGAAAATGTTGGCTTAAAAGCAAATTCACAACTTATATACAGTGGTGGCTGTTGATCACAGTCTAATCCGTGCAGGAAAACCGTCGCTAAGCGATTTCATCGCTAAGCGAGTTTAAAAAGCCCATAGAAACACATTAAAACGCGTTTAATGCGTTCCTATGGGCTTAAAAACTCACCTTATGCGAAAATCCTCCATGGGGTGGCCATTTTCGGTGCCTCTAAAGCAAAGCAACACAGCAGGCAGCCATTTTGGAACCGCCGATCAGCTGTGGGAAAATGGGGCCTTTGGGATGAGCATGGGGGAGCGCTCCCCGCGCTCATCCCAAAGGCTCCGCCAATCAGCTGTGCTGTGAGGGGTGGAGGGAGAGAGAGAGAGACAAAGCACAGCTGATTGGCAGGGGTTTGCGATGATCGCGGGGAAGCCATCATTGCAAACCCCCGCCGATCGGCTGTGCTTTGGCGCTCTCTCTCCCCACCCCTCGCAGCTCCAGCCTTCGCAGGGAGACTGAGGCACCACTAGACCACCCTGGCCGAGAAAGACCCTCTGCGCCTGCAGGGGAGAGAGCGAGACAGCCGAAGCACAGCTGATTGACAGGGGGTTTGCGCTGATAGCTTCCCCGCAGTCAGTGCAAACCCCCTCCGATCAGCTGTGCTTCGGCTCTCTCTCCCCCCACCACTCGCAGCTCCAGCCTTGGCAGGCAGACTGACAGCCTGGGCAGGGAGGATGAGGCACTGCCGCACCATCCTGGCCAGGGTGGTGGCGGTACCTCAGTCTCCCTGCCGAGGCTGGAGCTGCGAGGGGAGAGAGAGAGAGATATGAAGCACAGCTGATCGGCGGGGTTTTGCGCTGATGGCTTCCCCTCAAATCCCCGCCGATCAGCTGTGCTTCGGCTCTCTCTCTCCCCACCCCTCGCAGCACAGCTGATCGGCAGGGCCTTTGGGATGATCGCGGGGAAGCGCTTCCCTGCGATCATCGCAAAGCAAATTTTCCCCATAGGGGGCATCACAAAGCGATCCCTCTTGCTATGGCAAAAAGTCCATCGCAAAGCGATTTCATTGTAAAATGGAGCGATCGCTATGCGAGGCACCACTGTAAATTATTTTCACCTACTTGTATGAGGCTCTCTAGCACCTTGTCTAGGAAACTTATTTAATATATCCTGTGCCATTCACTGTTATTTCAGTAAACTTTTCAGATACTACTACCAGATTATGGTAGTTTGTGTAGAAGAGAACATGCAAAGCAGTAAGTGTGAAGTATGTGTGCTAGCAAGTGTGGTGTCAAACAAGCTGTCACCTGTAAAGAAATCTGAGTTACATTTTCTCAAATTATTCAAGAATTTGAAAGATAGATGTGTAGATTTTAAGTCTTACTGCTGTCTGTGTGTCTAGAGAATAATTTCAACTTGTCAGTTAAATGTGGAAATCAGTCTATATTTTCTGTTGACAAAAGGCAAACTTTGTTTTTGGCAGATCATTGCCTTTGTGTATTTTTTTAGATAATAAAAAGTACATTGTACTTTGTATCACAGTATTTGTGATTATGGCTGAAATCCTGATGGTTAGCATAGTAAGTCACAACTAGAGTAAGTCGGCATAGATTTGGTAAGCAGGTTTACAATTTTCACAATATTGGAGACAATAGAGTGCTCTATTTTTGTGTCCGTGAAGAGTCATATATCCGATTCATTCCCCCTTCAGTTTATAAACTCTGTTACTCAAAATATCCAGAGCTTAGAATTAATTGTATAATTGCATTTTATATGTTATTTTAACGTGTTTTAACTTATGTAAGCCGCCCCGAGTAGACATTGTCTAGAGGGGCGGGGTAAAAATAAATAAATAAATAAATAAATAGTGTTGATTTAATAGTGGCCCAGTAATGTGGGTTGTTGTATGCTACGTTATTACTGTCTTTTAAGCCTTCTGAAAAATGAAAGCAGATACTTGTTTTATTCTTTTAGCATTTAAAACCAATTTTTAAAATTGCGAAGCCTTTCACGGCCGGCATCTAATGGTGGTTGTGGTTTTTTTGGGCTCTTTGGCCATGTTCTGAAGGTTGTTCTTCCTAACATTTCACCAGTCTCTGTGGCCGGCATTTCAGAGGACAGGAGTAGCACTCCGTGCTCTGGTGTAGTTTGTTTTAAATTAGTACTTTGTAGTTCTGGTGCAGTTTGTTTCAAACTGCACCAGAGTACTACTCATGTCTTCTGAAGATGCTGGCCACAGAGACTGGCGAAACGTGAGGAAGAACAACCTTAAGAACACGGCCAAACAGCCCGAAAAACCCACAACAACCAATTAAAAAATTGTTGCAGTGTAATTTCTCTTACCCTGTTTTCCCGAAAATAAGACCTAACCTGAAAATAAGCCCTAGTATGATTTTTCAGGATGCTTGAAATATAAGCCCTACCCCAAAAATAAGCCCTAGTTAAGTGAAACCCCACCTTCCACCATTGTGGAGCATTATGCGGGAACCAGAAGATGACATGACTGTAAAATAAAACATCCCCTGAAAATAAGCCCTAATGTGTTTTGGAGCAAAAATTAATATAAGACCCTGTCTTATTTTTGGGGAAAGATGGTGGTTTTATATGCAAATCACATTTTTCCAATGATTACATGTTTATTTTAAACAGCTGAGCTATTCTTTCAACAATTGATTTGAGCCTTTTTTGAATTTTCCTTTTCCCAGAAACTGAAAAATTACCTATACCTTTTTCCAGAAACTGAAAATATATGCTTCTTTCAAGGGATCATGATGCTTGTCCCCATTAGAGCTAGAAGTTCCTACTATGAATAAAGAACAGATAATGGCATGGCTTTCTGCATATTTTCAAGTGAGAAAACAAACATCTGTTAAGCATACTTAAGGCAGGGCTACAAAAACTTGACATTAGCAATGACTTAAAACAGATACTGTCTGCAGCTAGATAATCAGTAATGTGTAATTTCTAATTCTTCTACACAATCTGGGACTGTTAATGTATTGGTTGAATTGTAACTGAGCATAAGAGAAGCCAAGTATAATAAGACCTCTATATCTGTTGGAGATTGGTTCCAGGACCCCCTCTCCATGGATGCTGAAATTTGAAAGTCAGCAATATCTACAATAGCATGGTAAAAGAAAAAAAATCTGGAAATACACATTTTCACCATACATTGCCAGAATTGGCTACTAGAGGGAACCAGAGACCATGCTATCTGTTCTTCAACAAGAATATGTAGCCTTGTCTGTTTCTCCCTCTAGTGGCCAATTCTGGTAGTACATTGTGAAAATACATATTTCTAGTTTTTCTTTTAATATTTTCAGATCACGAATAAGTGAAACATTGGATACAGATCCTGCAGATACTGTAATGGAAACTGTGGGTGTACTGTGTTCCTGCCTTCAGGCATAAAATACAGTGGTGCCTCGCATTACGATGTTAATTCGTTCCAGCGAAGTCACTGTAGAACGAAAACATCATAATGCGAAATTTAAAAGCCCATAGAAATGCATTAATACCCAATTAATGCATTCCTATGGGCTTGAAACTCACTGTCCAGCGAAGATCCTCCATAGCGCGGCCATTTTCGCTGCCCGTGCAGCGAGGAATCCGTCCCAGAAAACAGCAAGACAGCGGGCGGCCATTTTTTTAAACCTGGTGGCCATTTTGAAACCGCCTATCAGCTGTAGGAAAATTGTCGTTATGCGAGAATCGGTTCCTGAAGCAGGGAACCGATCATTGCAAAGCGAAATTCTCCCATAGGAAACATTGTTTTGCGATCGCTTTTGCAATTGCAAAAACTTCGTCGTTACGCGATTTCGTCGTAAAACGGAGCGCTCGTCTTGCGAGGCACCACTGTATCAAGTGGGGAGTAGATGAACTTTTTTGTGATTTGCAGAAGTTATACGTTTGTGGTTGTGTCTGGGCAAAGTACTACACTCACGCTTTAGTCTTAAACTACTCTGTTTTAGGATTGACTGTAGTACTGAAGCATAGTCTGAAATTCATTGACCAATAATATCTGAGGGGTCTGAGTTTAGAAACTGCTGGATTAGATGATCACTGCATTGCTTGACTTTTTAAGAATCTACAAATGTTTGGTGTTCCAAGCATAATCCTAAATAGTAAGTTGGAAGTGGTTATTGAAACTTGATGGAAACTTTTTATCTTTTCTTAAATGTGTTGGATGTCTGAAAGTCCTTCCATTGCTTTTTCTGTGGTAAAACAATGTTATGTAAATACATCAGTTTAAACATGTCTTAATTTAACACAGGAATATTTCATTTTAGGCTTGTACTTAGTATCAACACCTATTCTTCCTTCTACTATCTGTAGAAGTAGTGCTGTTAATATTGAAGCATCTGCTAGTATTAGCACACACTGCAAATATTTTGTTGGAAGACAAATAAGCCATAGTATTAGTGATCTTCATTTAGTAGTATATTTAAAATGTTAGTGTAATTGTTACTATAGTTAATACTATTTCTCATTGTATTGTTTATCTTTCTTTGAAGGTGTCCAAATGAGTGGATCATGAGGAACATAATCTAGGGACTTGCCATAGTATGGCTGCTTCTCGATCTACTCGTGTCACAAGATCAACAGTGGGTTTAAATGGTTTGGACGAAAATTTTTGTGGCCGAACTTTAAGAAACCGTAGCATTGCTCATCCAGAGGAAGTTTCTTCTCTTTCACAAGTAAGGTCAAGATCACCAAAGAAGAAACCAGAGTCTCTGCAGACTCAGAAGGGAAACAATAGTGGACGAATAAATGATGTGAAGCAGCAAAATTCTAAAGAAGCATGGGTAAGCCCTAGAAAGAGAGGATTGTCAACTTCAGAAAAGGATGGTGTTGAAAAACAGATTGTGGAGAATTGTGAGAAGAAACAGGCAGAATCTGTCTCTCCAGTTTTAAAGAGAATTAAGCGCTGCCTACGTTCAGAGACACAAAATAGTTCAGAAGAGGTGCAGCTGTCTAAAACAGGAAAGGAGCGATTGGAGCGCAAGTGCTCTGTATCAGACAATGTTGCAGTCACTCCAGGACCTAAACGAGCTTGTCGATGTCTTATATTGGACGATAGTGATAAAAGGGAAGCTAAAAAAGTGAACTCTTGTGCAGAAAAGTTTAACAGTTCCTCGATATCAGAAGAACTCTTAGACTGTCAGACTGTCAATGGGGTTGATGGGAAAGATTCAAATGCTACAACGTGTAATGACTGTCAGCCTGATGGGAGTACAACACATAGCAATGGTGATTCATGTTCATCCAAGGAAAACTCTGTAACAGAAAATGGAAGTACATTGACCCATTCATCATTTTTTCTTAACAAAAATAAAGAGGACAGTTCCGTAGACCATAGTGTGCCTTGCACAAATTCACAAGAACAGATAGAGGACCGCAAACAGTTAAAGAACTGCTTGCCTGAAGAAACTGCTAATCAGGCACATGAATCAGGTACGGGTACGGAGTCCTTTTCTGAAGTCCAGTCATCTTTATTAAGGGATTCTGAGGAGGAAGTAGATGTAGTCGGGGATAGCAGTGCCTCAAAGGAACCATCTGAAAACACTAACAGCAATCTGGACAATTACCATGACAGTACATCAGTCTCAGGTGATCCTGAACCACCAATTTCAGACTGTATTTCAGCCCAAATTACATCAGCATCAGAATCTCAAGAACACAGATATACACTAAGAACATCTCCATGGAGAGTGGGCCCTGCAAAAGGTACCCCAACTAAACAAAGTTCTCCGTGTAGAGAAAATGGACAGATTGAGGAAAATAATCATAGAGCCCCTGAAAATAATCTAGAATCAAGTGTTAGTAGTATCAATGGATCTACCATAAACACAGAAATTCTGAATGAAAAAGAGAGAGGTTGTGACTCTGGGGAGAATATAGATGAAGGACTAAGTAAATCATCCTCAGTGGCTAGACTTGTTACTGGATCTCTACCATCCGCCAAAGAAAGTGCCAATCTTCATGCTGTGGAGGATGAGGAGGAAGAGCCTGATGTTTATTTCTTTGAATCAGATCATGTGGCATTGAAACACAACAAAGAGTATGTGTAACTATGGTAACCATGGATTCTGCTTTTTGTTTGCTAATCAGATCCCTGGTTTTTGAAAATTTTGTGTCTGCTCTAATGCCATTTGAATAATATTTATCTTTAAAGGGGACTTTGTTTCTTGAAAAAGTAAAAAATTGCCTTCTTTCATACATTACTATTAAGGAGAGTGACCTAAGCATGTTACTTTAGTGCAACAGCCTTAGTATGACTTTCAAATTATAGACCTTTTTTTTCTTTTCTCCTCAACTGGCTAAGAACCAGAATTTTTACAATTCTCTTCTTGTAACATTGCAATTAATCTTTCACTTAATTAGTATGCTAAATATTTTCTGTTAGAAAGTTGTATTAGTGTACATAGCAGAGTGTATAAACTGTCAATTATTATGACAGTTACATAGTATTGCAAAAAATAGATTAATCTGTGTATATTTCAAATTACCTAACCTGATCTGTCTTCCTGAATTTATCATCCAGGTGTTTCCATACCTGCAATTAAGTTTTCTTTGGTAACTAGTCTAGTAATATTTCTTAAATTCAAAGAAATCTTAAGAGTTTCATCACTTAGGTTACATATATACAGTGGTGCCTCACTTAGTGACGTTAATTCGTTCCGCAAAAATCGCTGCAGAACGAAAATGTTGCTATGCGGTATTAAAAAGCCCATAGAAACGCATTGAAACCCCTTCAGTGCTTTCCTATGGGCTTAAAACTCACAGTTGAGCGAAGATCCTCCATAGCGCCGCCATTTTCAGTGCCTCTAAAGCGAGGAATCCATCCCTAAACACAGCAGGCGGCCATGTTGAAACCGCCGATCAGCTGTGTGCAAATGGGGGCTTTGTGATGATCGCTTCCCTGCGATCATCGCAAAGCGAAAATACCCCATAGAGAACATGGGAAAGCGATCGCTTTTGCGATTGCAAAAAATGTGTCACTAAGCGATTTCTTCGCTAAGCGGAGCGATCGCTAAGCGAGGCACCACTGTATTAGCTGTAATAATGTAATATTTGTAATATTAAGAGCTGGAAATGGAAAAGCTTTGAACTACAGGTAATCTTCAGGATTCATACACAAGGGGGTTGTGCAAGAGTTTTTATAGGCAGACACCCGATAATACATTAAGTTCCCCGCAACCTCACACCCTCTTTATATTTGTTCTTAGCTGTTTATAGAGAAGAGTAATGTTTTTGAATAGTGAATTGTGTCAGGATGCGCAATCTAGACAAATAGCAGGGATCTGGAGAGTTCAGTTTACATGCAGTTACACCAAGAGATAGTAGCTATTCTGTAGCTCTCAGTTTGTATTTTAGGAATGATTGCTTTTAAATAGTGTGTTGTATACTGATGCTGTTGGTTGGGGTCTGAGATCAGTATGATGCTTCACCATGACAAGGCAGCAATCCATGAAGGAGTCATTTGTATTATTACATATAAATATTAGCTAGCTTTTGAATGTCATGGAGGATTATATCAGTTACCTGAATAAGAATTGGGAAATGTTTGATTTATTTGGTAATTCATTTGCTTGATTTGTACCCTACTTTAGATCGAATCCACGTGACGGAGTGAGTTCCCGTCACTGTCCCAGCTCCTCGCCAACCTAGCAGTTCAAAAGCATGTAAAATGCGAGTAGATAAATAGGTACCATCTCGATGGGAAGGTAAACAGCGTTCCGAATCTAAGTCGCGCTGGCCACGTGACAACAGAAACTGTCTTCGGACAAACGCTGGCTCCACGGCTTGGAAACGGGGATGAGCACCGCCCACTAGAGTCGAACACGACTGACTAAAATGTCAAGGGGAACCTTTACCTTTACCTTATTTCATGGACTCAAGAGTAATTTACAACACCTTCTGAATGTTAATTCTGCCCCAAATGGACTCATAATCTAATGAAGTCATATAATTTGTGAGAGGGTAAAAAAATCACAGAATAGAATAAAATTGTCAATTTAAGGAATACCACTCAATATCTAATAAACACTTGCATGGTAAATGCATATTTGTTAAAAAGCAAATGCAAGTGATCTGAAGGGAAAAAAAAATATAAAAATCAGACCTTCTTGGCAGTGGCCTCTCATCTCTGGAACAGTTTACCTGTAGAGATCCGCTTGGCCCCCCTCACTGAGGGCCTTTAAGAACAATTTGAAGACATGGCTTTATAGGCAGGACTTTCCTGCAGTAATCACTTAGCCTATTTTTCTTTTCCGTTTGTCTTAACCTGTTGGATTCTGTTGTTAAACTGGGTCCTATTTTTAGTACATTTATATTTTCATAGTTTATTTTTTGTGTGTGTATAAACTACCCAGAGCAGACACATTCTGGATGGGCAGTATATAAGTCTAATAAAATAAAATTTAAATAAATAAATAAATAAATAAATAAATAAATAAATAAATAAATAAATAAATAAGATGGACATGAACTTGAAAATCAGCGATTCATGATGGGTAACCACAAACTCCTGGAAAAACCAACTGGTTTGTGGTTCATTTTTCTGGTGAAAATGAACTGGGAGGGGGACCTGCCTGCTCCTGCCCTCTGCCATCCTTCCAACTATCCCCTTATTGGCCTCCTGTCACTGCCAGGATTTTTAGAGTATTGCATCCATTAAACTGTAATTATCTTTCATAAGAATAAAGAACAATAAAAGTGGCTATTTGAGCCTCTTTTGATTCATTAGTATCAGAATACTACTGGTGTGATTAAATGCTGTGTTCCTGTGTAGGC